TGTAGGGTGACCAGCCTGAAGCAGTACCTGGGTCAGCATGCTCAGCAAGCATTGGCCATGACTCCACCCCTGCACTCTGAGCTCACCCACTCCCTCAATCCTCAGGATCACTGTTTGAGGGAGAAAAAACTGCACCCAATTTGCAAATAGGAGCCCGAGGCTAGATCGGAACTAGGCTGGAATCAACCTAGTCCTTCGCACGCTACCTCTAAAGCCCTCTCCCAGCTTTTCCATCCAGAATGGAGATTCCCTCAGACCTGGCAGGTGGGGAAGGTTGGATTGGGGAAAAATACATGAGCTTCCACCACCTCAGAGGCCTGGGGTCCAACCCTCAATCTCACGTCTCTAGCATCCCATCTCCCTAAGAGACCTCCAAGCACACATGTGCACACCCACCCATGCTCAAATGCACCCTAGACTCCCCGCAACCCTGCTCCTCTGCCTAGTCACCCCCAGCTAGAATAGAAGCTCTGTGGGCACGAGAATCTGTGTATAATTTGTTCCCATTTGTATCTCGGGTATAGCAGTGCATGGCACAGTGAGTGTGTGCTGAGGAATGAATGGACTAATCTATTCTTAAATGAAAAACAGCAAGTGCAGGACAATGTGCATAGCTACTGTCTATGTAGTACAGTAAAGTATACATTTCCATGTGTGTTGCATATATAATATGTATATGTGTGCATGTGTACATTTGTGCACGTGTGTGTTCGTATATGTATGTACATGTGTGTACATGTACACACACAGAGACACTCGTCTGCCCCTCTCTCCTGTCTTAGCCTACATCCCCTACATCCGGAGCAGGGGAGCTCTAGAAGCTGTATCAGGCAGGTACACGCAGCTCAGGAAGAGGAAGGCGCGGTTCCGCCCGCAGCCACGCGGGGGCGCCTGGAGCCCTCTAACCCCGGGCAGTGGGCTGGAAAGCCTGGAGCTCTGACAAGACCTCCAGCCCACCAGCCCCCACTCCCTCCCTCTGGGGCCCCTGTGGGAGGACTCACCCGAAAAAACCCCGGAGGAAGGCCACATAGATGAGGGGCGCGAAGAAGCTGAAGTAGAGGAACGTGGTGGCATCCACACAGCTGGGGGGGGGGCGACAAAGGGGACAGGTTGGAGCATGCCTCATTGGGCGGAACCTCCCCAGCCTGGGGCTCCCTGTCCCAGCTCCCCCAGCCTCCATACCAGAGCCCCTCGATGATGTCAGCACAGAGCAGCGCGCTTCCCAGCCCCTGCAGCAGGTTGAGCAACGCCAGGATGCCTGCATACACATAGAAGCTTCTCCGGGCTGGGGGATAGGGGGAGCGTGAGGTCCTGTCCTCTCCTCCACACTTCATCCCAGGGTGTTACTGGGACACCTCGGTCCCCCAAGGAGCCCTCCTTCACTCCCTCCCTCCCTCCCTCTCACCCAGGGCTCTCCAGCTCCAGGCCACTGTGGCCCAAACAGATTCTCCCTACCCTCCCACCCAGCAGTGTCCCAGAGCAGCTCACAAGGCAGGGAGATGCGGTCCTTCAGAGGGGTCTTGGGAAGCACCACCACCAGAGAGTACACCTACAGAGACAGAAGCGGGGCTCAGAAGGGTGCTGGGGAGCACCAGGCCTAGAACTAGGCCAGGTACCACGGAGTCAGGCTCCGGCTAACTCGGCCACTCCCAGCGGGTCGAGGCCCAGGGTCCACCCTCGGCCTCACCAGGAAGAAGAAGCAGGAGCTGACCAGCCAGAAGTGGCGGCCCCCGTGCCCATAGATGTTGAAGTCCTCGGCTGAGAGGTGGGCATCAGGGTACAGGATCTCCAGGGTCCCCTGCAAGGGCAGGCAGGGGAGGGTCTCAAAGGATTCTGCCACTTGGAAAGTCCCCTCCCTGGGGTCTTCCACCGCAGAAGCTATCCACCACACCAAGCCCAGCCCCAGCCTGGTCCCCAGGGGTTCCTGCTCCAGCTGACTCTCTGGTCACATCCTTCCCATTGTGTGTACATGTACAGAACAGGCCCAGTTGGGGTAGGGGACAGAGCTGGGCAAAGGGCAATACCTGACCCAAACTAAGAATGTGGTCTGCAGACCTACATTCTTCTACCTGGGTGGCTTGCTAAAACCGCAGGTGATGGGCATCCCCGCCCCCCCCACCCCCCCATCTGTAAGAAGGAAATCTGGGAAGGGCCCCCAGAACCTCCCTTGTTAACAAGCACACCAGGTGACTCCTTAGATGCACTAAATTTGGAGAACACTGCACCTGATAAATATTCAAACCCAGATCCAGGACCAGGAGGCCTGGCCTTCGCTGACTGGAAGGGAGCCCTCAGGGCTGCCCTGCCCTTCCCTGCCCCGCCCACCCCCTTACCTGGGTGACAGAGTAGGCCAAGGACAGCACGGTGGTGATGGCCAGCACACGCTTGATGCTTGACTTGCTCTCCAGGTGACCTGGAAAAAATGTGCTGGTCAGTCAGCAGGAGCCAGCCCAGGTGACCATGGTGGGGTTGGCCCCCAGCCAGGGAGGGGCAGGGAGAGCATTAGCCCCAGCAGCAGACGCACCAAAGGCAAGGCCCAGGATAACCACACTCAGCTCGATGGCCAACAGGAAGAAGCGGGTAATCTCCCACAGGATCTGGACACAGAGTGGGCAGAGTGTCAGCCTGGGGCCCAGTCACCCCTCTCCCCAGTGCCCAGCACCCCCCTTGCCAGCAGGCCCAGCCACACCTTATCAGCAACAGTTGCAGCATCCGAGGTGCTGACCGTCATGCTGACCACGGCCCGGGCAATGCCCACTAGCGCCACCACGAACACCTGGCGGGTGAGAAGGGGGTGCGGTGAAGTCAGGGAACCAGACCTCTGGGATCGCAAGGACAGCAAACCCACCCCCCACATCTGCAGCAGTTCTGGTTCCTCCAGAATGGAAGGATTCCAAACTAAACAAGGCAGGAGATGGGGAGACCACCCTCCACTTGCCTGGTCCTCCCCTCTTGGGCCTCAGTGTCCCAACTACACTGACAGCCACAGAGTGGCTAGTAGGGTGACATGATAGAGCCAGACTGCCTAGGTTCAAATTCCAGCTCCGCTGCTTCCTGCCTCTGTGACCTCAGGCAAGTAACTGCTCCTCCAGCTTCAGCTTCCTCATCTATGAAATAGAAGTAATAATGGCACCTATTGCATCTGAGCACTGAGGGATCAACTCTGTAATAATAAAAGTGTAATATGTTAATTAGAACAGATGTCCTTCTGGGCGACCTTCCAGATGAAGCCGGGGCTGTGAGGGAAGCCTGGATCCCGGGTGCCTGTGGGCGGCTGGAGGGAAGCCCGGGTCCCGGGTTCCAGAAGGAAGCTGGTGCCCCTGCAGCCGGGGGAAGGAAGGCCTACTCTTGCATGAATTTCGTGCATCGGGCCTCAAGTGAGTAAATAAATGTGGATGTGTGCCTGGTACTCAGTAAGGACTGGGTCCACAACTGTCCTGTCATAGTAATGGTTTTAATTCTGAGACCTGGGGGCTGAGAAAGGAGGCCACAGAGAAGAGGCATCCAGACCCTAGGGAAGGTGCCACAGGAGTAGGTTTTGCAGAAGTGCCTGCGCTCAGCATCTGTAGCTTTTGTCACCTAGTATCCACCCTCTTCCTCTGCCAACAGCTTCATTCCTGTCCCACCCTCCTCCTTCACATGGTTTGGGGGGACTGACCCCAGCACTCCTGACTTCAGGGACTGACCTGTGACCTAGGGCTGGCCATTCTAGTATGCCATTCCACTGGTTTAGGAATGGGGTGGTACCCAAGGGAATTGAGTGAAAGTCACAGCCAGGACAAGAGGTGCAATCACTGGGAAAGGAAGCTGAGGGAATGCAAACCCAGAGCTGCTGGGGCTGCCTGGCTGCCATGAGGGTGGAGACTGCTAGAGACAGGACCATCAGAAAGACACCAAGCTAAGAAGGAGATGGAGACAGAGCGGAGCATCACTGAGCCTCTGAATCCAGCCGTGCCCGCAGCCCTGGGACTTGTCAGTTTCTCAGTCTGGCTTCTGTGGGTTTTAGTTTTCTGACACATACAGACAAAAGAGCCCACATTCATACATACTCTGTCCTTTGTGCCATGAAAGCCACGGCTAAGCCTTGGGGAGGCCTACACCCCTCAGCAGGGCAGGCTGCAGACGCAATCAACTGCCACGTGCCTACGGTATGCCAAGCCCTCACTGGGCAGGAGCTATGCACGCTGTCACTTGGTGCTCACAGGAGTGCCACAAGCTAACTCAAATCTGACATGGAGAAGGGCACTGAGGCACAGAGAGGTCAAGCCCCTGGCCCAAGGCCGTCCTGCACAGCTGGGGTTTGGAGGTGGTCTGCCTAAGGGCACTCTTACCCCTGCCTCCGCTCCAGGACCAAGTCCCCAGGAGGAAGAGGGTGGGTAGTGCTGACTCCCCTGGCCTTGCCTCATGTTCCTGGGCATTGGCCCTGGGTTTCTTTTCTTGCCCACTCCCCCGGAAAGAGCACCTGCCTGACATACTGTAGATAATTAATATCTGCTGAATAAATACACAAATAAGTAAATGGTCAGAGAGGCTGTGGGAGAGGGCAAAGAAGAAAGCAGGCCTTGATCCCCAACCCTATTCAACACCACCTCACAGGGCTGGGGTCTAGTCAGCAGGTCTACCAACAGCCTCCCCTGCCTCTCTGCCTGCCCACTACCCATTCTTCTGACTGGGAAGTTCTGACCCCGGCCACAAAGGGGAGACCAGGGAGCCACTCAGCTCTCAGGTAGTGATCGCTAAGAGGCACAGAAAGGGAGGACTCCAGTCGGTCAGGCGTGAGTCCTGAAGAGAGGGACTTCTAAGATTCACACCTGGGACTGCATTGTCAGCCACAGCCCTACCTCTCCCCAGGCAACACCCATCAAGACCACTGAGGAAGGAGAATGCAGGCTCTCACAACAGGCAGGAGGTCTCAGATGGATGGATGGAGGCTCACTGGGTAATTTTTCCCCACTCAGCATCCATTCGTCTTTCCTTTAGTAATGGTTCCCCACTTGTCTTCCAGGGACTATCATCCTCCTCTGGTCAGGCTGAGCTGACCCCACCATCCCAGCTCCAAAGTATCCCATTCCCCATAGTCACAGTAATTGGCTCAGGGCTGAACACAGTAATTGGCTCAGGACTGAATCAAAGTGGGCCAATCAGAGGGCAGTCCAGGTCTACACTGGAGGTACTCTTTGCTAAGTTAGCAGAAAAACAGGATATGAGCTCTAAGCTGCTCTTGGCTATCTTTGACACCATAAGGGGAGAACTAATCTGAGATAAGGCCAGAGGAGAACAGAGATGCAGAGAGATAGTCCTGATGACATTACTTAATCCCCTGGATCCAGCCATACCTGAAGCTGACTTTCCATTTCAGAGGCAGTTAATCATTCCCTTTTTTGCTTAAGCCAGTTGCAGTTGGGTTTTCTGTCACCAATTGGAGTGAACTCACCAGGATATAGAAGGTGATAAAAATGGGGCTGGAGGTGATGCAGATCTTGGCCCGAGCAAACGGAAGCTTCCAGAGCAGGAAAATGAAGAAGAGCACATTGGGGATGAGCAGCAAGAGGTCCCAGTACCGGACCCTAGCAAACAGGTATAAAAATCAGTTCACTAGTGAGGTTGTGTCTGCATTCCTCCCTCTCACTCTCTCTCACACACACACACACACGCACACCAGGAAAACCCGCTCACACACAGTCAGGCAGCCAAACAAGGCTGTGACTCCCTTACCGAGAGGTGCCGATGTCCTCGTACAGCAGCAGCAGGCAGCGATGTGGCACACTGATGTTGGGAGCCAGGGGTGGGGACAGCACTGTGCTCCCGTTGGCCCAAACCACCTCCTGCACGGTTTCCATCTTGCCAGCACCCAGCCTTGGGAGAGTGAGAGCCACGAGGTTAGCAGCGCAGAGGCTGTGCAGCCCTGGGCCTCTGGTCTCAGGCTCCCAGTGGAGTACAAGAGGGGCTGCCCACAGTGAGCCAGTTGCCCGCTCCCCATCACACCAGGCAGGAGGTGAGGTGTGGTGCTCCTGCTCATGTCCCAACCAACCCCACACAGGGGCCCAGTCCCTTGTCTCAGGCTCTGTCTCATGACCCCCAAACAATAAAAGCTCCCTCAATGATTGGGCCTGCCTCTCTGCCAGGCAAAGCAATGCAAGCTATTTGGCATCACTTCTGTTGGTCACTCCAAACCTGAGGGAGACACAGCTCGTGCCCCAGCCTGCCTCTTACTCCCTTGTCTTCTCTGTGCCTCAGTTTCCCCTGACCCAGGAATGGGAGTAACAAGTGTCCATCCAGTGAGGTTGCAGTGAGTACTAGATAAGTGAGGTCAGGTGCCCCTAACAGCCAACACACATGAAGTCCTCAGTAGCTGAGCTTGGCTCCAACTTTCCACACCCCCACAGAACCCACCTGGAGGCCGAGTGCGGTCACAGCCGCCAAGTGCCTGCACAGGGTATCATGCACACTCAAGTGGCCCTCAAGCCCTTGTCTCCCTTTGCTGCCACTCTAGAAAGACAGATACAACTAGAGGGTACACTGCACTGTCCCCTAAAAGAAGCACAGAGGTCTCTAAGTGGAGAGGGTGAGAGAAGAGGAGGTGCTGTGGTGGGAGGGAGAGGGCGCAGCTGAGGAAGTGTGAAGGGTGGGGGGCAGTCAAGCACCCACGTGATGATTTGAGAATGAGAGGTCAGAATCCAGCCTGAAGATAGGAGACCTGGTGGTTTAGGGTCCTGGAGCCACCGTGGACAACCAAGGCAGGCTTGCAGGTCACAGGACTCAGGGAGAGTATCAGTAGAGCTGGCCTGCATCAACAGTGGCAGGGACTTCCACAGGGAGCTAGGGGGGCTCAGGGCAGGTGAGCCAGGTGTGGCCTGCTCACCAGGATATAACAGATGCCAGCGTTTAAAATGATGACTTGGACAGAATTATGCCCATGTCTCCACTTCGGGGTATGCTTATAATAGCCCCGAGCTGCGGGCAGCCCAAATGAGAATGTATGTGAGAACAGCAGTGCTCATATACACAACAGTGGAATACTGCACAGAAATAAAAAGAATGGGTTATTGCTACGGGCAGCAACACAGAAGAGCCTCGCAGATAAGAATCTTGAGAAAGCCACACAAGGAGCAGAGAAGACGTGCGGTTTAACCCCATGGAGAGACTGAGTAAGGGTCACCTTTGTGGAGGATGAAGGGTAGAGGGGTGGAGGGAGGCACACCAGCTTCTAGATACTTGATCTGGGTGGTGGGTACCCAGGTGCGCTCACTGTGTCACAATTTACTGAGCCATGGACCTCTGCTTTGGGCACGTGTATGGGTTACACTTCAGTAAATTTTTAAAAATTGAGATGTTCTTTTACACGCCAAGAGCATAGGTGTCCCACTCAGCAAGGAGCAGCCCGGGACCCTTAGCAGCACTGCAGCAGGAGCCCGTGCTTATCTGGCACTAGCACTATTCCTGAACAACAGCAAGCCAAGACAGGGCTAGAGGGAATGCAGGGATGTGCTCGCTGTTTCTCATGGCCATGAAACGAGTGCTGCCTCTGGCTTAAAGACTCCCAAGGGCTGGGCAAGACCTGGGGCTCAGGCCCCTCCATCCCTCTCACCAACAGGCCACTGAATAGCTCTGGGATCACATGACCACCTGCAACTTGAGGACATACCAACAGTGAGGTATATTAAAGAGAACATATGCCTGACACATAGTAGGTTCAAAAACAGAAGTTTGTTCCTTCCTGTTCTCTACTAATGGCAAAGGCAGCCAAAGAAGTCCACCCCTTCCTTCATTCATGCATTCTTCCACCCACCCATGGCAGGCAGTGCCAAGCACCCACTGTGAGCCAGGCAGGAGTCCTGGTGCTGGGACATACCTGCCCCCAGAGGGCCTTCCTTCTAGGAGGGGAGGCCTAGAGCCAGTGCAAAAGCCCACATTTTAAAAGCAAACTTCTAGAGATAAGTGCTGAGACAATAAGAGCACAGAGGAGTGGTACAGAACAGCAGTCACCAACCGGTGGTCCGTGAGGTCCGAAAGGTTGGCGATCGCTGGTACAGGACAGGAAACAGCAGAGACTGCTGCAGTCCCCAACACGCATCCTTTCCTGAAGAACTAGAGCCCCTGGATTTAGCTTGCACATGCCTCCCCAGAATCACAGCCACTCTCCCAGGTCCCCTTCCCCTGGCTGTGGCCATGTGAACAAGTTGTATCATGAACAAGTTGTATCCAACAGGACATGAGTAGTGAGGTTTACCAATTTCAGGTTGTGTCCTTCTCTGTTCCCATTGGCTGGAATGTGAATGTGGTGGTAGGAACAAGAGCAGAGCCATCTTAGATCACAAGACACAAGACACATATATTGAGGATAACAGAGTAATACGAAAGGTGTCTGGTGTGGGAAACCACCTATTGTCTTCACTAGCAGAGAGGTGTAGACAGAGAACCTGGAAGGCTAGTGACCTTTGAAGCCCTAGCAAAGGTCAGAGCTGTGCACCCACTGTTAGTCCAGATAATGATAGCTTCCCCACCGGATAGTCATGTAAATCCTTATTGATAAGATAGTCTGTGTGTTACAGGAACTTGCCTGCCTAAGGGCTATGGGTGTATCCCAAACCAATAAAAGGTTGGTGAGGCCTGAGCACCAGTGGAATGCCTTCCCCTTGAGTTGGACTTACCCGCCTGGCCCCCCAATATTTCCAAATTATCTCTTCTCTCTTCTCTTTCATTTGTGTGCGGCTCCTCTTCCAGATCCTGAACCCTGGACCACGCGGGACGTGGAGGGAAACATTTACAACAGTCTGGCCCTGGCCAGTGTGGCTCAGTTGGTTGGACATCGTCCCATGCACCCAAAGGTTGCCAGTTCCATTCCCATTCAGGACGCATGCCCCGATTACAGGCTCAATCCCCGCTACAGGGCGTGCAGGAGGCAGCCAATCAATATTTTGCTCTCTCATTGATGTTTATCTCTCTCCCCCTCTCCCTTCCTCTCTCTCTAAAAATCAATTTTTAAAATCTTAAAAAAAGAAAGGAAGGAGGGAGGGAAGAAAGGCTTCTGGGTCCCAAACATGGTAGGGCTCCAGTCATGTCCTGAACAGGTTGCATGAAGACTATCATGCAACAGACAGGAATAATCTATCTGGTTATCTTGGCCTTTGTTTCAATGGCTAAGCCTGGATCCCAGGGAACATAAAGGGGTGCTGCCTAAAACTGGGCTGTTACACAAGGTGAATATGAGCTGAGATCAAATAACTGGGAAGGAGCCAGCCTTTAAACAATGTGGACAAAGAGCAACCAGGGAGAGGACAACAATGCAAAGGCCCTGAGATAGAAACAGGCTTGGCCTGTTCAAAGGGCAAAACACAAGCCAGTGTGGTTGGACATGAGATGAGAAAGGTTGGTGGGACCAGGTCAGACAGGGCCACATGACCTCATGCAATGTGATTTTATTCTAAGTGCATCGAGAAGGGTGTCCCGAAAGCAGCTGACAGGGTCCCATTTTCCCGAGGAAAGGAAGTCAGAGTCATTGTCAGCTGCCGAGAACAATGGACTAAACGGGGGAAAAGAGTAGAGGCAGGGAGACTCAGGAGATACTGCACCAGTCAGGACACAAGAGGAGAGTGGCTTAAACAGTGGAGGTAGTGGGGTGGGGTGGAGGGATGTGGGATACCTTAGGGAGATTAGACCACAAGACTGGCTGGCAGACGCAAAGGCGGAGAAAAGAGAGCAAAGAAGGCAGGTTGGTGTCTGAGCCCCTGGATACTTAGCAGTAGTGAGGCCAACATTGCCAACGGCACCCTCAGCAGACACTGCCCCCTTCTTCTTTGCTACCATCTACTGTTTTGTTCCAGGACCCGCCTCCATGATGCCTGGTGTTCCAGGCAGAGCCCTCCCCAGCACCAGAAGCTGAACCTCAGTGAGTATAAGCCAACTGTGTAGAGCAATACTGGACACCTCAGCAGGTGCACAGGGGCTCCCGTGTGACACAGGGATTTGGGGGCAGGGTGCTCTGGATTTTTCACAGAGTCCAGGACTGCCAAATGTCCCGCCATGCACGAGGCAGTCCACCAAGTGAACGTCCGTCCTCCCTTTGCCAGCAGTGCCCTGCATAGAAGCTCCGCTCAGTCAGGGAGGGTGGGCCCACTCTCCTTGTCAGCAGCTGGTTAGGCAGAGCATGTGATGTCACATGGGGAGTCTCCTGAGGAAAGTGTTCCTCCCTGACCAGCAGGCACCCCCAGAGACAAAAGCCCCCTCCTCTGTGCCTGTGACTGCTGAGGTATAACCGGGGCCTCGCTGTACCCACATGAGGACCAGGCCTCCATGCTGAGCACAGGGAGTCTACAACTGGGAGGGGGTTCTGGAGACCTGAGATAATGTTCAAGTGACTGTGAGACAGGGGAGATTCCATAGCCCCTTCCAGCTCACTCCCTGTAGAGCGAACTTCTGGTCTTAGCTTCCCAGGACCAGAGAAATCGAGACAGTTTCCCACCCTGGGAAGGCGTCTCTTGACGTCATTAACATTCCAGAAGCTATCTTCCCACCCAGTGCTTGGGCCTCCACGTCCCTCCCTCTGTCTTTGGCCCAGGCTGCAGGGCCAGCGGCCAGCGAGGCTCAGGTCATGCCGTCCTGGCCTGCTGTGAGCACCTGGACAGTGCCTCCCCTCTCCCGGCCGCAGCTTCCGTATCCCTCACCTGTGCAATGGGACTGACCAAACCTCTCCCAGAGCTTCCAGGTGGGAAGCCTGGGGAATCAGAAAGCCCTGAGAAGAGGCCGGCGATACTTCTTCACAGGCGCCGTAACGCCCTTCCGTGCTTCCAACCCCCAGCAGGCTGTTTGTTGCGCTTTTAAACCCCTTATCCTTCAGCCATGGTGGACGCTGTCCTAGAGAGGCCGCTCCACATGCACTGCCAGCAGCCCGACCGGGAGCCCCCCAGAAGTAAGAGAGGCCCCGGGGCCCTTCCCTCGCCTTCAAGGCCCAACTTGACCCGACCCCTGCCTACTGCTCTGCCTCAGTCCCTTCCCCTCCCCAGGCCCTGGCTTTCATCTTGTTCTCCAAACGTTTGCCTACCTCGGGGCTTGCTCTTCTCCCAGCACCGCCCCACCTTTCTGGCCACCCCCTCCGAGCAGCCCTCCTTAACCATCTCTCCCGGCTAGCCCGCACTGTGTTCTCTTTACGGCACGTGGCCTCTGTCAGAAGTGGCCCTGGCTGTGTGTTCATTTATGAGCTGTCCACCTCCGGTGTGCTCGTGGCCCCATACCCTAGAACAGGGCCGGGCACAAAATAAGTTCTCAGCAAATGT